CCTCGATGCTCTGCTCGCGGCGCGGCCGGCTGCTTGGTGCTGTCAATGGATGTCGTGTTGTCCATGTCCACCCACCTCAATATCCTGTCGCAGCATACGGGCATCCATGGATGCCTTCCATCCGACCTCACCTCTCCCCATGGGCTCACGCTCAAACCCATCCGCGACGGGCAAAGTGCGCGTCCCCCAGGCTGGCAGTCGATGTCGGTCGTGGTACGAGCAGGTCAGACATGCCCAGCACCGCCTGGCCTCGGCTCTTGCGTGCCCCGGGCGCGACAGCATGCGTGTTATGTACCCCTCGTACCTTGGGAACAATCACAGGCTGATGAGCATCGCCCCAGGGAGGGTCGGCCGCCTTGCCTCTGCCTGCCGTCATCTGCCTGTTGTAGTACCTTCCTTATCTACCCACACGCCCTGGGTTGGCGATGGTGAACCACTCACGCATACCACCAGCCGCAGCCTTCGCTCCAACTCACAGGAATGGGGCCAGAGCAACGCAGCCAAGGAGCTTGGACACCAGCGAGCCAAGCTGGCAATGCTGGCCGGCTGCCCGCGTCTGGCTGGCACTGGAACTCGCAGACAAGGCCATGGGATGGCCGACTGCGACGCTTCTCGCCCGCTAGCTCGCTCCAGCGTTGCGCGCACCTCCGTCTCGCCTGGTTCCCCCCTCCCCCCAACGCGGAGCGAGGCGTGTTATTTTGTGTGGTACTGTATGGGTACAAGCGACGCGCCATGCCTCCAGCGGAGGTACAGTACAAAGGCGTTGTACTGCGACGAGCTCCAAGTATCTCGCACTGTATACAAGTGCGCGCTTTGCCCGCCTGCGCCTCTCCTTCCATCTCGGCGCGACTGGGACATACATCCGGGCAGGAGCTGCGCTCGCGCGCCTGCTCCAACGCTCCCTTAGCTTGACTCCTTCTGGGTGCGCCTGCCCGAGGAGTCCACGGATGGTCCTCTGGGCTGTCGTACCTGCCCGTGCCAAGAGAGTTTGAACGTGCTCTGGGCGCGAAGCTTCTGCTTCCAGTTCGTCGCCAACGGAAGACAGGCGAGACGGTTGCCAATGTCCGACGCCGAAATTGCGGCCGGGCGGGTGACTCCAACAGTCCTGTCTCGTCTTGAGTTGTTGAGGCGTGACGTGCAAGGTACTCCTCGCACAGCAGGTCGGCGCGTTTGCACGAGCTCAGGTGGGTCGGCCTGGTGTAGCAACGCGACGCCCAGCATCTGGGGCTCGCTCGTCAGCCCGAGAGCTCAAGGCAGTGGAGGACGGCCCAGATGGTAGGGAGCTTCGCACTTTGTATGTACACCTGGCATGCGTTCTCTGTTCTCCGTACTCCATACATGCTTCCGTAGTCCTGTATTATGTATGTACGTACCTTCTTCTCACCTTCCCCTTCACCCTCACCTCCCCGGCCTCCGACCGCCCCCACACGAAACCTCCGCACAGTGGCCGCTACCGGAATTTGCAAGGCCCAGCGGCAAGTCTCACGCAGGGGCAAGGACGTGTTGTGTAACTCGTCATCGGGGTCGTTGCTGTCATCACCCGCCAACAAGGGCAGCACGGCAGGGGCTTGAGCGCTACAGCTCCGAGCTCCCGTCGGATGTGGCAGATTGGCCCCAAGCCTGGGAGCTCTCTCGGCGGCGTGAGTGAGAATCGATCAACGTCAGCGGCGAGCGCTTGGAAGTGACCTCGCCCTCACCAAGCTCACCCAAGTGGGCACCACGACTCTACGAGTACCTCGCCCGGAAGCCACCATCTGTGACCCAAGCCAGCCTTCCAAGCCATCCTGGAGTCTGCCACGGCAGAGCAGTGGCGGAAAGGAACTGCGTTCGTGGACCACTGTGCCATGCCTCGCCGAGGATCAAAACCACCAAGATCCGTACCAGCTGCGGGCCAGCCAGAAAGAGCAGACATGCACATGGGTACACAAGACGACGAGGAAAGTTGGTACCCTGCCATCACCACTCTTTGCAACGAGCGTCGCTGCAGCGCCATCTAGGCTGGCGCGGTCCGCCGCCTTGGACGGGGGAATGCTCCGCACGCTGGTCCCTTGATGGATCACTTTTGGCTCACCAGGCAAGACAAATTTCGAGATGTCCCGAGGCTGGCAATGGAAGCGCGGCGACAGTGCTCTGATGAGGAAGCCACCCATACAAACCCGAGGCCGTCCAGTGCGGCGCGAGCGGGCAGTCAAGTCATCTTGTCGAGGCCTTGGGCCAGCGAAGACGCGCGACCCGCCTGCTGCGACATCCACGGCACCTGCTCCGGCCCACAGCCCGTGGACCCGAAATAACCACGCATCCACGCTTCCGACTTTGTCGCGCAACACCACCGACACTTGGCCCAATTGGTGCAGGCGCTGCGTCCCAGGCAGAGCACCAGGTGGCTGGGAGAGAAGACTGGGCCCTGCTGAGGAGCTCCGAGTGCCAGCCTCGAGCCAAAGCGCGGCCGCGAGCGGGGTACTTGAACTCTCGCATGACGAAATGTACCGTCATACGACTTTTCCAAGTACTGGTACACGGCTATTGGTACCTAGCGCGCGCCTCTCTGTGACGGACACGGCATGCGCTGGCTCCCGCGTCCGTCACAAGCTGCAGCAGCGAAACTCCACTGGCATTGACCGGTGTGCTGGGCGAGTCGCGCGGTCGCATCCGACTCTACGGAGCCCCTGAGGCAGGTAGGTATAGTAGGTAGGCAGGATCGAGAGGTTGGATTCGGCGCGGCATTGTCAGCGACAGACGAAGAGCTCTCGCGGTACGACGATGCTCCCGTGGGAGAAACAGGGCGACGCGCCGGCTGCTGCAGGTACAATCGTCGGCCGTAGGTAGGTGACCCAGACTCCAGGCTGGCGCGAGTGGGTGCCGGTTGCTCGCAAGTAGCCACCGTTTCGAGCACAGCGAGAGAGAGCTCGAGCCCGATGTGAGCTTGGTCCATGTCGCCTACCCCTTGTTCCACATGCAGGCCAGTCGAGACATGACAACCATCAAGGACGGGGGAACGGGGGCCAGAGGCGCAATCAGGAGCCAGCGGCGACCGAATCTATGAATGAGCAGAACCCTGTACTTGGTACGCGGTGCTGCGTGGCCTCCGGTGCTGCAAGCCGGTTGGGGGATGGCAGATGGCAGGGAACGTAGGCATCTCACCTCAGGCGACGGAGCCGGCCAGGCGGCGGGAGGCAAGACGACGGACGAAGCGGGCATGCAAGGCAAGCCAGCCAAGGCAGGGCAGGGTACCTACCTGGCCAGAGGGTCAGTCCTGTATCACCCCGTGGACAGACACTCGGCGCCATTCCTTCTGCGTGCTGGGCCAAAACAAGCCCGCCCAGCCACGGCTCCGGCAGGTACACTGAGCGACTTTGGGCGGGTACGCGACACACCACTCTCTGGGTGGCTCGGTAGCGGCAGTTTGCGCTGATACTGTGCTGTACTTTGCCGGGTAGCTCCAGTTCCGTGCAGCACCTCACGCGTCCCGACGGTACCTAGTTACCCAGGCAAGCCTGGGCAGGTATGGCAGCCCGCGCAGGGCAGGTGCCTTGGCCACCCAGCCGCCGCGCCCCGGCTTCCAGGTTGCCACTCGCTCCCTGCTGCCCCTGCCGCCCTGCCGCCCGCCCTGCCGTCCCTGCCCACTCCCAGCGCGAAAACAAACGCCTCGCCTCCCAGCTCGAGCCACCGCCAGCCGACCAAGGGCGAGAGAGGGGGCAGCAATCACCACCTCGCGCTGAGGCAAAGCTCCGCCGCACTCGGACCCTTGCGTTTCTCCATGGACGCGTTCCGGTCGGCAGCCCGAGCTTACGCCCCCGGCTCTTGTCGCGTCCTGACCCCCAGTGATTGCCCCGGCTGCTCACAGCAGCGGCGAGAGGCGCTCCGTCATTCAAAGTCGCGATGCTTTGCGCACCAGCAAGTAGTATTTGCGGCATGAAACCATGACGCGTCGAGAGCACGCATGGGGTGATTTGCAAACGTCGCGGTTCGCAGCATAGGCCGGGCTGGGATTCCTGCAGTGGCTTCAACTGGGGAGGCAGCGTCACGTTTATACTGGGATGACTGGGTAGTTGGCTAATGACGGAGTCCTGGGTTTTATCAGCGCAGCTACCAGTTGACCTCTCTGGCGACGCGAGGCGATACTTGCAAGAGCCTAAGAAGACATAAATGTAGAGCTTTCTGTCACCAGGACGAGGGCAATGAGCCTCGTCTCTGCATCGATGCAATCATGAAGTTGGCGACTGTCCTCGCCCTATCTGTTTCGCTTGCTAGAGAGGTAAAGTGCTGCTCTCGCTCGCAAGGACCAGGTTGATCTGCTGACGACGGACCACTCCAACTGGATCAGGCCCTCGGCACGCCCTCCCCCTCGGATGATGGCACACCGTTGGCCACGCCGGTGGACTTCATGACCTCTTTACCAGCGAAGGCAGCTATATACAACATCACAGACATGAATAACGGCTATACCCAAATTGTCTGCAATTTGTATGATCCCGTAGACGACAAGCAGTTCGAAGAGTCGAGGAAGTCGAATATAGAGTACTTCTTCCACACAACCAAGCCCAAGAAACCGGTGGCGCCAGGCGAGTGTGAAAGAATTGGGTGCTACGACCACGTTGCGGTAAGGTGGTGCAACGGGGTGAGCCTCCCTCGCCCCTTTCAACCTAGAGACAATGATCGCGCGCAATTACACGAAGGAATACAATGACTGATCAATACATCCGGATAGACCAAAAAACCCAAAGCCCCAGACTCCTGGAAGGAAGTTGCGGATGCTCTCAAGGCCATCCCAAAGATCGCCGATGAGAAATGTAGCCGGAATGACTACGACGCTCATAGTTTCAAGCTCTTCCACAAGGACGGATGGAGTCTCACCATCAGCAAGGTGTGTAGAGGGGAAAACAAGTGCCGTTAACTTGTGGCTGCGATCGATACGAGCCTCGGGCAAGGGAGAGCATCACCGGTAGATACTTGCTTTGAGTGCATGCAATTTCAGCAATAATCACCTATATACGTCGGTTGCGGCAGTATTATGATACTGCTCACTACTATGAGGAATCCATACCTCGGCAAAGTGAATGTGAGCACCAGATTGCACTTGGTTGGGGAAAGGAGGCGGGCGAGTTTGAGTGAAGGTTCCATGGGAACAAAACCCGCTAGAGCGAAGACATCAGAGACTAGACATACGAGGCACGTACAAGGAGAGCACGATGCTCTCTCGCGGATCAAATGGCCGTCACGCTTTGACAGGTCATAGCCGACAGCATGCATTGTTTTGCCCCATCCTAATTGTCCTGGTCGCGATGCCGTGCGTAGTGATGGAGAGCCCTCTCCTGCCGCCTTGATCACAGTACAGTTCGCAGCGAGCGCAGGTCCGACGGCTCTGGCAATGCAGGACATTTGATCACGATGAGAGCTTTCGAACGAGCTATTCCTCGATGCTAGAAACCTCCAGTGTAGAGATCTGGTTGAGTGTCCCCTCTTGTTGGGCCCGTGAACAGACAGGCCGTCTCCATCGCATTGCATCCACTCGCGTGCATATCACGTGCGGGAGTTGCGTTGGGAAGGTGGCATAGTTGCCGAGTCGCAGCTTGTGTGTCCGCCAAGCTTTGCGAGATCGAGATGGTCGGGGCGGGAGGCAGACCTGGCCAACTGGTCGGGGTGTGGTTCGGGTTCCTGCGCCTCCCACTTTTGGGTGCACACAGTATCATGGGTGGTGTCCCCCACGAGGTGCCCCCCTTCGCGTTGCGAGTGCCGGGGCCGCCGGGAAAGGCGGGAAGGCGGGTCACGATTGGGGGCATGAGGCTGAACCGTGAGCGGGCTGTCCCTGTCGTTGAGCTTACAGAACTCCTCGCCCTGGCGCTGGGAGCCATAATGTGTTGAATTAATCAGCTACAAGTGCACCCTGCCTTCATAGCCGAAGCGCGAACCTGCGCCTACTTAGGGGTCGTCGTCGTCGTCCGGGTCAAGCACCATGTCCCGAAGCTCGTCATCGCGCGCCCAGTCGACGCCGCTGCCCGCAACAATGCCACTGGACAAGCCCTTGACAACTTGCCACCGCCGCTTGCTAAGCCTGACTTGCTCCTCTAACCGCCGGACCTCGCCCTGCGACCTGGCGTCGTTCAGATGTCCTCGTTTCCTCTCTTCGACCTGCGCTGCCAGGTCCAGCAGCTCCGCGACCAGCTCGACGTTTCTGGCAACTGTCAGGGCCGTGTCGGCTTGGACACGCGTCGACTCGCCGAGCGTGGTTTCCACCGCCGACGCGTGTTTTGAGACGGCGATGGCAGCGTCGTCTCGCTGCTCTATGTACGAAACAAGGTCACTGGTAACCGGTAAGCAGGGGCCCGGGCAGGTAGGTGCTGGACGTGCACGAAGGGAGCGTAAACGTGCCGTTCCACTGGCGTCGCGTCGGTGCCGTTGTGCACGGCCTTGAGGACCGGGTTGGCGATCATGACGGTGTCGACCGCGTCTTGCCGCAGCTTGAACATTGCCCTTGCATCAAGGAGGTCCTGCCTCGTCTGCTCCGGGATATCGTCTGAGCTTTGCGACTCTGCTGGCGCTTGGTGAGCTAGAGTCGAAGGGTTTTTGAGTGGGACTCCAAGTTCATCACTGACCTGACGCGTTCGCAAGCTGTGCATTGAGAAGGGCAATCTCTACTCGCAACTTTTGAAGGGTATCATACAGGTCCAGAGCGCGCTGCTCATCCGTAGATAGAGGGAGGTGATGGTCGTTTCTGGCGTCGACGTCTCCCATCGGGACATCATCGTTATTGACGCTCATTTCCGCGTCGCCGTCACGAATTCAACGCCTGTGACGCGTTGGTCGCTTCCAAGTGATATCACCCAGCTCGTACGATCGACTGGTCTGGTCTTGGGCTACGGACTTCGTACCTGGGGTTGGTGTCGCGAATTGGTGAAGGCCCGCTAGATGTGGGGTCCATTGATGGCTCGAAAACAAAGCAGCCACATGTGGCTTGGTCTCAGTGAGGCTGGTGCGCGCACACCTGCGCTCGCGCACCGTCTCGTCAGCTGGCGAGCGAGTCACGCTCACAGTGGATGAAGTGGAAAATGGCGGGAGCTCTAAACCCGGGGAACAGGGTCCACTGGGCCAGCTGACACCGGCACCTCGAGCGCCCCGGGCCAGCTGGGCGCCCGTCACGACACCAAGCCCGCCTATCTGCGAAGTACGTACATCAGCATCGCCATCACCACCTAAACTTAGGTGGCCGCCGTGACGTCGTGTTCAGTGGCCCGCTTGGCCTATTCCAGCGCCACACCAGCGACCGCAGCCCCCGTGCCTGGCCCAGCGTGGCGGTCGACGACCTGCAGCCCATGCGCTAGCCGAGCCTCACCAGCTGGTGACGACCTCCGTTATCAGGCATCCCTCTCGCTTGCCCGTCGCCCTGTCTCACCCTCCTTTTGTCACCTCTGCACGCACGCTCCCCGCGACACATCGACGTCCGACCTCCTGCTTCGTCTCGTTCCGCCTCCTCCGTCGCCGGTAGCCGCAGCGCCGCATCGTCCGCGACGGGAGATGTCTCGGGATGGCTACGCAGGTCTTGATTGCCCATACGGGCCAGCGACTCGAGGTCGACACGGCGCAGTTCTCCAGGTGCGAGCCCTCCGGGCAGTCCTCGGAATTCCCCCCCGACCCTTTCTACACAGGGACTGACGCCGACGCTCGTCGCAGCCTCGATGATTTGAAGGCCTGGGTCGCGCGGAACAGCTCCGTGTCGCTCCAGCACATGGTGGCCCTGACGCCCCAAGGCCGCACCGTCAAGTATGCGAGTCTCCATGCCGAGGTTCGTGGTACCCCGTCACAGGTGCATCCGTCGCGTCCGCTGACTTGCCCTACACAGAAAGAAATCTACATCTACGACATCCGAGTCACCCAGCAGCAGTCATCGTCGACGGTTGCGTCGCCATCGCTCGTCTCCGAGGCGCCCGCCCCGCGCCGCCTCTCCATTCCCATAGCGCCAAACTCGATAGACGACGTCCAGGCCATCGCATCATGGCAGCACCTGTACGAGGAACGCCGCAACTGGGCGGTGCGGCTCACGGAGGAATGCTCCCGCCTGAACGATGCTGCCGCGGCACGCTACGACGAGATGGACGTCATGATCAAGTGCTTGGACGCGGCCGTCGCCAACCTCGAGCTTAGCGTCAAGCAAATCGAGCCCAAGTACAACGAGCTGAAGAAGTGGGTGGAACCAGCTCTGGCAGAGCATGAACAGCTCGCTGCTTCCTGGGAGCAGTACCTGACGCTCGCCCGCAAGACACCTGTCTCGCCCGCCATGGTCAAGTTCATGACGCGTGGCGAGGTCACCAAAACTAATGTCACCCTAGAGGACCTCGTGGAGCTGGAGACGGCGAGAAAAGCAGGCAAACTGGCAGCTACGGCCCGCCGGAGGTTCAGCGACAAAGCCACCGAGCTAGACAGGATGGCAACGCAAATGTACCGCGGCCTCGAGGGCCTGGCCTCCGACTTCGACAAGCTCATGAGCCGGTCTGCCTTGGCGCACAGCACCGACGCCGCCCACCTCTTTCAGGACATTGAGGCCGTGGCCAGTCAGATCGACTCCGACTACAAGACCGCGCTCGGCTACGCCGGTTCGCAGCGTGATCTTGCTCAGGCATCTAAGACGGCCTCGAACCACACGGAGCGACTGGTGCCTTCACTAAGGAAGCGAGCCAAGGAGATGGACGAGATAGTGCAATATGCCACAGATGCCCGCAATGCCATTGCCCGCGAGTCCGTCATTCACATGCGAACAACGACGGACGTCACCGCGTTGTACAGCAGCGTTCGCAACCAGATTAACGTTTTGAACCAGTCCGAAGACGACCTGACAACGTTTGACTACCTTCGCCTCATCCATCAGCTTCCGTACATGTACGCGTCGTTTGCCGTCGAGGCCATCCGACGCCGAGAGTGGGTCGACAAGGTCAAGACGGATTCGTCGACACTCGCCAACGAGATGGCGTTGTTCCAAGACGAGGAGTCCAAGAGACGGAGACGGTGGCAGAAGATGGTTGGCAGTATGTACGGGCCGTCATCTGAAACCAACGTTGTCGGCCTCGAGGTGAACCTGCTGGGCGAAGACGTGCCGTGGCCTGCACTCACCAAAGACGACCTGGATGCTTTCCTGCACCATCTTCAAGAAAGCGACGTCGACCCTGCCGTCCTCGAAGATGTTAGCAAGCTTATCCAGGAGCTAAACAGCCCCACAAAGCAGCAGTCGAAGCGGCTAAAGGCATTCAAGAACGGCAGTGTCCATGAGGCCGCACTAGGCCGAAGCGGTCTGCTTATTCGCGGCGATGATGAGCTCCTTCGTACACTGCAGGACGACAAGACCAAGCTGGAGAGCAAGCTCAAGACGGCAGAGAGCCGGGTACGGCGTCTAGAGGATCTCTTGCACAGGCAGAGCCAGACGTCTCGCCCCGGGAACCTGTTTCAGCCACAAAGGAACCAGCCGCACGAGAGGCAAGACTCGACTTCATCCATCCGGTCTGGTCGCCCCGACGACCGCCGAATGTCTTCGGAGGGAATTGATCCGCTGCTGCGAAAGATAACGCAGCTCGAACATGAGTTGCACGAGGAGAAGCAGCGCTCCGCACAGTTTGAGAAGGAGCTCAACACCCGCAGCACACAGCACAACGATATGAAGTACCAAATCCAGGAAGTCAACTCGACGAAGAAGGATCTTCTCGAGAACATGGAGGCTCTCAAGAGGGAGTTTCTGGACGAGAGAAAGTCCTTGGAGGACGAGATCAAGACACTCAAAGCTCGCCTCGAGGACACGGAGGATGAAATAGAGCACTTTGGCGAGTCGCGAGAAAACGAAAAGGCCACCTACGACGAAAAGGTGCACGCGCTCGAGGCCGAAGTGGAACGTCTCACGAGGGAGCATGGCGACGACGTCCTCAAGGCTCAGGGCCAAGTCGAGTTCCTGCGGAAGGAGGCGCAAATGCAGCGCGAACGCCTCGAAGCGTCGGAGCGCCAGGTGCAAGTGGCGGCCGAGGAGAACCGCTCCGTCTCATCAGAGCTGGAGACGGCCCGAGAAACGATCGAGTCGCAAGATCGGGCACTGAGAAAGCTTCACGATGATTTGGCTCCCGACGCAAGTGCGCCAGTGGACTTGTTGGACCTAACCGACTCACTGCAGTCGTACGCGACCGGCCTTCTGACCAAGCTGCGCAATGCCGAGAGCGATCTGGCTGTTGCCCGAGCAGACCTTGAGCAAGCCTCGAACTCAGTCAAGGAAAGCAAAACGGATATTGCTAATGCCAGGAGCAAGCTAGCGGTCGAGGAAGAGGAAGCCATGCGCTTTCGCGAGACATTGGCTGAAGAGAAGGCCAAGGTCACTGCCCTTGAGGGCGAGGTCGCTGAAGGGCGAGAGCAGCTGAGCCGGTTGCGCACGCAGCTTTCGGACGGGGCCTCGGGATCCGAGACGCTGCAGAAGAAGCTTGAGGACGAGGAAAAGAAGGTTGCGCGGCAGGCGGAAGAACTGGCCTCGCGCCAGTCGCAAGTCGGCAGCCTCGAGGAGGAACTCCACATGTTCAAGCAGAGGGTCGAGGATGTGCAGAGCAAGATGGGCGCCATGTCGGCGCATTACGAGGCTCGCGACGGACGGACCAAGGGCCTGAGCCAGCGACTGTACTCGCAGAACGACCGCCTCACGCGCCTCCTGGAGCGCATCGGATACTCGGTCACGCGACAAGATGGCGAGATGACCATCAACAAGATCCCACGGTCGGAGAGGAGCACGCAGAACCCCAACGACTCGTCCGACCCAGGATCCACACTCCGGCGTTCGGCGAGCCTTGGCATCCGACAGATGACTGACAGCGGGGACCTTGAGCCGCTGTACTGGATGGACGGAAGCGATGACTCGACCGAGGCCGAGAAATACGAGCGGTTCATGCAGACCCTGGGCTACTTTGACCTGGACTTGTTCTCCGAGACGGTGTATCTCAGGATTAAGGAAGCTGAGCACAAGGCCCGCAAGTGGCAACGGGAGGCGCGGGGCTATCGCGACCGGGCTCACGCTGCGCAAAAGGACGCGCACGACAAGATTGCCTTTAGGCACTTCAAGGAGGGCGACCTCGCGCTATTCCTGCCAACGCGTAACCAGCAGGCAGGGGCGTGGGCGGCCTTCAACGTGGGCTTCCCGCATTACTTTCTCCGGGAGCAGGATGCCCATCGCTTGCGCCACCGGGAGTGGCTCGTTGCCCGAATCTCACGCGTACAGGAGCGAGTCGTGGACCTGTCCAAGAGCCTGCAGCCGGCCAACGATGCTGAATCCGTCAACGACGACGAGAATGACAATCCGTTCCAGCTGTCGGACGGGCTGCGATGGTACCTCATCGACGCCCACGAGGACAAACCGGGCGCCCCGTCCACTCCCGGCATGGGCAAGTCGACAGTGGCGGCCAACACGGTGGAGGCGACGGCGGACATTCAGCTGCACGCGGGCAAGGGCAAGGGCAAGAACCGCGACAGCGTGGCCAGCATCGAGGGGATCAACAAGACGCTGTCGAAGAGCCTGGACAGCCGACGCAGCAGCTCGAACTCGAAGAAGGCCTTGCCGTTCGCGATAGGAGGCGGCGCCGGCACGGCTCTGCTCAAGAATAGCGCGCTGGCAAGCGAGACCAACTCTCTGCGAGCGGCACCGACCGACACGCCGGCGGGCACGAGCCCGGCGCAGGCCAGCCTCCTCTCGGCGAGCCTCGCGAACCCTGCGGAGCAGCTGGGGCCGGCGCCGCGGTCAGTGCCGGGCGAGAGCTCGGCTCAGGGGAGCCCGGCGGCGAAGTCCCCTGAGGTACGGACCGTCGACACCCTCCTTGGACCTTGAACAGACGCTGATGGGGGCCCGCTACAGCCACGTGTACCGCTGCAGCGCGAGGAGTCGGTCGAGAGCCCCAGCAAGAAGTCGGTGCTGTGGGATTCGCTGTGGAGCGTGGACTATAGCTACGAGAGCCCGTCGAAGAGGGCGTGAAGGCGGAGACTTGGTGGTGGGCCGCGGACGGTGCATGCGCACGCGAATGAGTGCATTTCGAGAGGCTCCTCAGGTGAGAGGAGAGGCGACGCTTGATACCCCGTGCTGAGAGGAGAGTGTGCTGTCGATTTGGGTGGGCGCGTTGGGCGTTGGCATTGCGGCCCTGTTCACAGCGTCATGGCAACAAGCATGCGAGGGCGTTGCAACTGATTGCGCGTTACATAGGATGCGTTTTGCATTGTATATTGCGTGGCCCTGTTGGGTGGGCGATGTAGCTGAGGATTGAGGGCGTAGATACTCTGTAATACAGGCAATGGTTGAAGCCGGAGCAGCACGCCCGTTCCATTTTGGTGTCATCACGGCCGAGGAGGGATGGCACCCTCACACGAGCACACTTGCCTTCCGGTTCCCAGGTGCTTCCACTTGGATATGAAAACGATTTACTTTTGTAGATTGCATGATCAGACTTGATTTAGCCAAAAGGTTTGTCGGTTTGCCCGCACGAAACGAAAATTACGAAGTACGGCGGCGGCTTGTTTTAGCTGCAAGCAGCCAAGCTGAACCTTGGGCTGCAACTTGGACGAGCGGGAGCTGGCTGACCATCTCGGGCAGTGAAGGCCCCGCCGTCGCGACACTGCAGCGCTCCCGTCGCCAATGACGTGCTGCGCTGGGAACGGCCCGCTGTAGCTAAGGCACTATAGTACCTAAGCAACTTGCCTAGGTAGTAGGCGGTAAGCTCACACCGCACAGCTCGCCGCCTCCACGCCCGTCCATCTGCTGGAAGGCACCACCCGGGAAGCTCTTATCTGGCGTCGTTTCGCTTCTCCTCCCAAACTCTGTTCTTCGTCCTTGCACACACGACATGACATGACATGACATGACACATCGACCAGAATTCATCGCCATGCAGCCCGCCGACGCCATCTGAGGGGACTGACGCGCCCCCTTGCAGCCCAACTTGATTTGCACGACCTCGCGGACCCTGGACGATGGGACGCGCCACAAGGCGTCATGGAGGTCGCCAGTCCACGGAACAGCCTGCGAAACGGCGGTAACGACAGCAGCTTCAGCAGCAACAGCAACAGTAACGACAGTCGCCGCGCACCATCGCGCGCCGTCTTCACCACACCAAGGCTGCCGACGGAGCTGCTCCTGCACGTCGTCGAGTGCGTGCTGCCGGCCAACTCGCGCGCCCTGCTGCCGCCCTGGCACTCGTCGACGCGGACGCTGCTGTCGCTGACGAGGGTGTCGCGGGCGACGTACGGGCACGCGTCCAAGCTGCTGCGGCAGCGGTGCGTCTACGTCGACTCGGGCCCGCGGCTGGCGGCGCTGCTGCTGTGCATGCCGCGGCTGGTGCCGACGCTGCCGCCAGTGCTGCCGGCGCTGCGCAACGTGACGTCGCTGTACCTGGCGCCGTTCGGGCCGTCGCTCGACGACCAGCCGACGGCGGTGTGGGTGCGGGAGCTCCTGTGCGAGGTGTGCGAGACGCTGCGGCGGCTGGTGGTGCAGATGCCGTTCGGCAGCCTGGACCCGCTCGACGACCACCTCAACGTGCGGCGGACGCTGCGGCAGGGCTTCGAGCAGCTGACGGGGCTCGACGAGTTCGTGTGCCTGGGCGAGTACCCGGCGCTGAGCGTGCCCGAGGCGCCGACGGACGTGTGGCGGCTGTGGCCCGGGCTGCGGCGGCTGGCGCTGTTCGGCGTGCCGGCCGACAGCCACTGGCTGTGGTGGGACGTGGCGACGCTGCCGGAGCTGGGCCACGTGGTGCTGGCGCGGGCGCGGCGGCTCGGCGAGACCAACATCAAGGACGAGTACTTCCACAAGCTGCCGCGGGGCGACGCGCGGCTGGGGCGCCGGATCCGCGTGGTGCTGCTGGACGCGGCGTGGGAGGTGCCGGAGCTGGACACGGCGCGCTGGGCCGACGTCGACCCGGACGGCCGCATGACGGTCGAGGTGCACGAGGTGCCGGTGCCGTTTTACGGCGACGAGACGCCGCAGGAGCTGGTGACGGGCTGGGTCAAGCGGGGGGCGCTGGACGGGTCGCTGTGGGAGTGGACGGGCGAGCGTGTCGGGCCGTGAGGCTGCCTGCCAAGGCGCTCTCCAGTTTGGCCGGGCGTGGGCATGGCGAGCTTGGAGCGAGAGGAGGAGGCCGTGCCGTGCCGTGTCGTCTAAGTGCGCGTGCGGAGGACGAGGATACCCACGGGCTGCGACCAGGCGACGACGAGAGGCGGGGATACCATTAGAACGAGATGCTAGAACATACAGCACTGCCAACATCATCAACGGGGTGCTTGCCTACGAATCTACTATGGGGAGATGCCAGAGCGCACAACACCATCAACGGGGGACTTGTCCAGCTACGATGCCTGTTCCACTGATGCCGGCTGGATGCAGCACTCGCAGTGGCTCTCAAGCGTACCTTGACCATGAATATCCTTGAAACCAATGGCCAGTCCAGCTGCAGCGAAGCAGGCAGCAGCAGAGCTTCAACCACCAATGGCAGGGGGCATCACCACATCGGCGAACACTGCAGAATCGAACCTGCGAATGTTCCATGGAAGCGTCGCAATGGCCCTGCAGCCCGGGTCGGGGGGTGGGGGCAGGAGGAGGGAG